GCCTTACTTTGAATATCAATATACTGAATATCTCATGAAAAACTGTAAATCTAATATTCAAAGCCTAACAGTTTGACAAGTTAATAAAATAACAATTTCCTTTCAAACATCAAAAAGGCAGAAATGATGCAACACATGAGCCAAAAAATGTTTGACTGCTGTGCAATCATTGCAGTTTCTTTGCAATCTTGTAAAAAAAAAACAACCAACCCGGAGTCTGTGACTCCTTTACCAGTGTGTTCACGCTGTAGATGGAGCTGTTGTACTTTTGTTGGCAGAGCTGAATTTAAAACAATAGGGCAGGTCTCACGAACCCAAACAAAAAGCACAAACTTCTGCTTCTAAATCTATAGTTTAAAGAAAACTCTTCTCCCCCCATCACAAGTAGAAGTTAACACAGACAAAAATGCTTTTAGACATTTAATTTTCATTTAGAATACGTATTTTTATGGTATTGGGGCAGTTGTTCACCCTATGAGATAGACTGAATGTGCCTCAAAAGAATGATTCACTTTCCCCCCTCTGTATTGACACAACACTGATAAAAGCACATGTTGAGAACTGTCAAATTCAGTAACTGAGATAGAAGAGGAACTCTGCAGAGGGTTTGTGTCTAATTTTCCCAAATCTCAGAGTGTCTGAGTTGTCCTGTTTTGAGCATTTATGATGCACAACACAATAAAACGAAGCTCAAAACGAAGCATCCAGCAACAAACACACATCTCCACATTTTTAACTTACAAGAGGAGAAACAAGAGGGCATTTGCAGATCCCTGTCAAACAAACTCAACCATTGCGTTAGATGTGGTGTTATTGTGCTGTTAAAACACAACACTTCTTCCATTTTATGTGGATTTCAGACTAGAATACAACGTTTTACCCGTTGGATGAGCTGTCTTCCTCTCTTCCAGCCAGCAACTCCACGGAAACTGAAGAATTAATTCACAATGAACCGATTCCATGTTTGAAAACGACTGCTTTATGTACAAAAAATTGTATTTATTATCTATTATCTAAGTGGTGAAAAATCTTTGACTAGACATTATCATGTCAGTATTCAAATCTGGGAGCTTCAGACCTGCATTGATAATCCACACGTATCGAAAACAAGCGTTTAACGCGGTTAAATGTTATAGATCCATTTATGTGACATAAAAATGGACATGCTTTGGGTTTTGATTATCTTTACTGTTCATACAGTTAGCTGTAAGATAACTTAGCTTACCGCAGCATACAATGTTTCAGAAAAGTTCTTCAGGTCCTCCATTTTCTCAAGATGGGGCCATAAAGCCACAATGACCATGAGTGGACAGGTCACACAGGATTAGGTGTTTGGGTGTTTTGTATTTGTAGAAAAATGCAATGAAAAACCTCCACGATGCTGTTTTTAACCAACCTTAACCCTAACCCATTTCAGTATTCAAAGCAGTGACCCGTCTGTTCAGTACTGGATTTATTAGAATAGCTTACAGGATGCAGATTAATGAAAAAGTTAAAAAATAACCATAAAAGATACTGAAATTGCTTTCATCGTTGTGCTTAAATGACTCCCAAAACGTCGTCTGTCATTTGACACAAATGACAGATGCTCACACAACAAGGAGATGGTTTGGGAATTAAGTTCCCCAGAACATCTCAGGAATTCCCGTGTGGATCGCTTCGATTTATATGTTTCTGTACAGTGTCTTCTCAGATGAAACTTCTCAGAACAGGACAGAGAGCTTAACTCTGTGGCTTTGCTGAGCTGCATTCCTGAGCAGAGCATCCAAAGAACAGTTCAGGGCTGTAACCAGCCATCAGGACTGGATGTTTAGATATTTGGAGAGGATCACATGTCTTTGCAGAGCTCAGGCCCCTAAAAGAGTAGAATGTGTATCTGATATACAGCCAAACACTGTTCCAGTTACAATAGTTCATTAAATTTTATCATTGGCAAAAATAGGATTTAATACTGTTCAACAGACAGAATTGAACCATTCTGAAATAAGTGATTGATGATTTTTTTTATTTTTTAAATACACTGTTATGGTACATCATTATATATTCTTTGATGAACAACATTTCCAGTGTAATTTGAGAGTATATGCACACTTATAGCCTCCTTTAAAAAAAAAATCTTATCGCCTGATTTAAGATCAATGTGTTCAATTTATGAAAAACATTTTGTAAGTTTTACAAAATGTTTTTAATGCCAAATAGGTGAAATAACTTGAATTTATGGAAGGTTTTTCATTGAAGTTAGAAAAAATCCATGTGTCATTCAAACAAAGGGCTGAATAGATTGAATCAGCTTGCATCCAGAGCGAGAGAAAAAACTGACCTTGGCTATTGTAAAAATCCCAATATATTTGATGTGGAACCATTTTTAAGGGGTCCAACACTCAGAAAAAATGCATCAGAACACATAAACACAGCCCTATCATTTTGTGTCTTCTGAAAAAATAGCAAATCTTTTTCAAATCCCTTCTTACAGTCTCTGACAGCTGGAAAAAACACCTCCACAATGCATCTGACATCACATTCAGAATGCTGATAATCAGGTTCTGTGATGATTGAATAATCAGCAGCTCTGTGCAATCAGCACATGATGGTTTATATAATAGCAAAACTAGAACGCAAAGCTAATTTACAAAGATTTTTGTTCATTTGGAATGGCTACAAACATCAAGTAAATACCCAGAAATGACTAAAAGATGATAAGGACACATGCTTTCTTGGAGATCAGGGAACTTAATGTAACTTAAAGGTTAGAAGGTTCGATCTCTTATTGCATTTTCTGCAGGCAGTTGTCAAAAGAAAACTGTCCCAAATCTACATCTAAGTCCTGGGGTGGGCAGTATCTAGCATTTGGAAAAATTAAGTACAGGTTGGATGTGTTGTTACTTAGATATTAAGTTATCCTATCTGTTCTAGGTTGCTGTTCACTATATGTTCTGTACTAGATATAGCCCTGAAAGCCCAGACAGTTTGAAATATGTCCTCAACAGACCTAATACAATGATCTTGTTCCGTAGCAATGTTGAAAATCAGGCTCTGTGTGCCTCTTGGGAACTGTTTTGACGTGGATTACGCGAAGGAACCAGGACTTAAAGGCTTTGCATTACAGTCAAAAGTAAAGAACAAAGAAATGCATTTACCGAGTTTTTATTTCGCCCGTAGGCGATCGTAGAAAAAAAAAGGGGGAGATAATTTCTAAGACAATCCCTACAGCCACAAAATGCAATGCTTTTCTCGGAATAGAGAGTTCCATCTGGAAACAGAACAGATCCAAATGTTGGGGCTTTGCAAATAATGCACCATCCACCACGGGAAGATATTCCAGCAGCAAACACTGAAGCTACAGCAGCTATCGGCAATAAAACACGAGAAAAAGAACTATGGCTCATCAGGGAAGCTCACAGTGTGTTGGAAAACACAGCAAACCTATCCGAGGTGTTCATCCACAGCCGAGAACAGACACTGGTGACCTCTGGTGGATGTGGAAAGGTAAACACAACAGAAATAAAACAGAAGTAACACAGAAACAACCCAAAAACTTTAAAGTAAAGTTAAACTGAATGTTTTTGGGAATATATTTCCGCCCACAGTTGCATTGTGGCATTTGTGCTTGGTCCAATATTTTGCAGGTGTCTTGCAAACAATGTGCATCTCTTTTAGATTCCGTCATCACACAGTAAACCAAAACGTGTTTCAGCTGCAGAAACATGATACCTCAGGTCTTAAGGAGGAGGTGGCTTCTTTTTTTTTTCCTTTCCTTTTTTTTAATGAACGTCAGCAGAGGGCAACCTGTCTAAATGTCTTGGTCATTCTTTGTTTGTAACCCTTTGACATTACAGTTCACTCACAATTCAGCCTGCGGATGAAATATTTCATCACCAACAAACAGACGTTTCTCATAAAGGCTGGATGAACAGGATCAGCCAGTAACTGCAACCTTACAAGAACCTAATACAGAGGAATGTGGAGACACATGGATTAATCATCCCAAAAAAATCATGAAGAAATGATGGTGCCTTGTAATGAGTTAAACATTATTCAACAAACCGGTTAACCTGAATTAGAAATGGATGGATAGACTCATTTTCCTTAAAAAGATGGCCAAAAAAAGACCATGATTTTGGGTAGCCACCCCCCTCCTCCCAGCAAGTATTTTGGAAACAGATGCTACCACCACTCTAAAATAGACTGCTGATTTTACAGGAAACCACCTTGGATTGCCTGAATGTTTATTGTTCTTTCTTTTCCACTTGACCTTTTGTCATTTTTCTCTGAAACATCCCTTCAACCCAGATCTTTAAACCCTGTAAGCACTCACTGAAATGGAGATTGTGAGCACTTTCTGTCTTGGTAATGTTTACAGTCAACAGGAGACTAAGATCTGTATGAGTTTGAATATCATTTTACCTAATTTATAAGCAAATGAACCCAGAAAGATGCACTTTTTAATATCTAGATTAAATCATAGTATGTTTTGTTGACTTTATTGAATTGTGGTTTTTGGAATTCCCCATGAAAACCAAGCAAAACAACACTAACCGAAAGGAACTTGGAATACCTTGAGCGTGGGTCATGTTTTCGGTAATCCTGCCGGACTATTTTGTGTTCTGTGATTTCTGGCAAGCGAGGTTTTCCGGCACATAATTCACTTTTCAAAAAAAGTTTCCTGGGATTTGCGTATTTTTACCATCAACAGTGACCCCTATGCTGGTGTCATTTGATGGCAGCACATGAAAAACAGGCCAGCCGAAGAGGAATGCTGCTCTGCGCACATTTGGCACCACCTCCCGCCAGACTAATAAGTAGGAGCTGCTCACTTCCTTCTTGTTTGTGTGCGTTGCCCTTTACCTGTCACCTACCTGCAGGCTCAGCGTGGGCTTGCTGCCTGGGAAGATAAGCCTAGAACCAAGAGCTGAATCAGCATGAGAAGGAGACTTTTTGGCGAAGACAGATAAGAGGAGAGCAATAAAAGAAAAAATAAGCCGCAAAACTATCAACCCGTCATGTCTTCATCTAAGCAGGAGGAGCAACTTGCTCAGGAGTTGAGCTGCCCAATTTGCCTCCAGCTCTTCTGCGATCCGGTGGTCCTCCCTTGTGGGCACAACTACTGCCGGGCCTGCATCTACAAGAACTCCGACACCGTGGACATCATGGGCAAAGCGCCGCCCCGTTGTCCGGAGTGCCGCGAGGAGTACCACAGCGTGGAGTCCCTGCAGAAGAACTTCAAGCTGTGCAACATCATCGAGGGCTACCGCGCCACGGCGCCCAAACCGGACGCGGAGCCCCCGGCTGACCCCGAGGAGCCGGCGGTCTTCTGCGACTACTGCATAGAGAACAAGAGCCGGGCGGTCAAGAGCTGCCTCAAGTGCGAGGTGACCCTCTGCCCCCGGCACCTGCAGAGGCACCACGAGAAGGAGTCCTTCAGGGCCCACACTTTGGTGGACCCCCTGAAAGAGGTGGCCATCAAGGGCTGCGCCGTCCACCAGCGTCCCCTGGAGTACTTCTGCTCCCACGACATGACCTCCCTGTGCGCCACGTGCTTCGTGGAGGGCTATCACCAGAACCACGACGTGCTCACCTTCAGCGTGGCCGAGGAGGAGATGCGCCGGGCCCTGGAGACCCGCCACAAGGTAGGTCGAAATCAATCCAGAATGCTAAAAACAAAACAAAACAAAAAGAAAAGAAA